TTGGGCACACCTCCCACAGGCTGCTCACTGCCACCATCAGACATTGGCGTAAGAGCAGGGCACACCTTGCAGCTCCACCCCTGAGTGGCAGCGTGCTCCCACTGTTGCTCCGTGGAGCAATGAACAGAATTAAGACAAAAAGTTATAAACAAATTCCCCAGCCAGCGTTGAAAGTTCATCTTGGAGGACTAGAGGTGGGTGGATTCAATTGCATTTTTTAATAGTAAATGGATTGTTTTATATTTTTTAATAAGGACTGTTTTGCCTTCACAATGTTTGGGGACCTATTTGAAGAGGATTTTTCCTTTGTTTCAAACAATCATTGTGGAAAAGGGAAGAAATCAAAGCCCAGAGATTCTGAGCCTCCAGCTCCCAGGGATTTCACCAACCTAAGTGGTATCAAAAATCAGGGTGGGACCTGCTACCTCAATTCCCTTCTGCAGACTCTTCTTTTCACACCCGAATTTAGAGGTAATACACTGAAAATCTTCTTAAAGTAATGTTGCAATTTATATTTTACAGTGACTTGCATTTGTGGTTATTTAAGAAACTCCACAAGCAGTTTGTTTTCACGAACAGTTCACTTCAAATAATTTATTACAGAATAGTCAGAGCTATTGATCTGTAGAATTGATATCATCACTTTGGCACAGAATGTGTTCTGTTATGCTTTCTTACAGGTGGACAGTCTATGGTTTGTGTAAGTAAGAGAGGTTATTGCTGTTCATATCATGTCATCCATTTTTTCATTGCAACCACTACAATTCCTATAAAAACAAGTATTTTATCATCTAAACACCTTCATGCTCACTTTTGCTTTATTGTTATAGCTTGAACCAGTTGTAAAGATGAATGATTTTCAGAAACGTTGTCGAATGTCTTAAGTTGCCAAAAAGAATAGCATCATCATGCTTGACAGTTAAAATACAATGAATCTTTAAAGAGGAGACATATTTTTTTTAGAATAGGTGTTTTTCTTTACATTTACAGAGGCGCTGTTCTCTCTAGGACCTGAAGAACTTGGGACTCTGGATGATAGTGGTAAACCAGATGCAAAGGTATTTAAAATTTTCTTGTCATTGGTCACTGCTGAATGTTTTTTTGGAATAATATTGTTTTAATTCACATTAAATCTTTCATGTGAATGAATGAAAGCCTAACTTTGATACTGAAAGACAGCTTGGTTGGCTGATACTCAATTTTGTGCACCGATGTATGTTTTCAGTGCCATCAACTTTTGCTTCAGCAGTAAGTTATTGAACCTGTTTCTGCTGCAATTGATAGCAGAGATAATTTTGTCTTCAAGGGGAGCAGGAACAATCCCAAATTCTGTACAGTCCTTGCTTAGGTTTTTTGCTTCTGTAATTAAAGCTGCATTGCTGTGTCACTAGAAAAAAAGATTTAAATATATGTGCCACCTAGGTGAGTGCACTGAGGCCCTCCGAAGGTTTAACAACCCATCCGTGCACAAGATGGTATGAGACTGGAATTGAGTCTTTGTTTAAAAAGTGCTTACTGAGGTTGACTACAGTATTTCATTTATTAGTTCTCGGGTTAAAGTGATACGAGTTGCTTGGAAATGTATTTTCTTTGTAAGTCGTAAATAAGTATAGGTAGCTGATCAAGCTTGTTGATGTTAATCATTCTCCTTTCTATCTTGTTACACCCCACTACCAGACCCTTTACTGAGCAGTGAGTAGCACATGTTAAATCTGTAGGTCACGCTGTCTTGTAGCTGGGTTCTTAGGGTGTAGTATTGTGAAAAGTATCAAGAGTAAGTTGGCCTTTTTTACTATGATGAGGGCTTAATTTTAATCCATAGAGTTTTGCTTTATCACAAAATGTATTTTCCATGACTGTATTTGGCTGAGTGAGGTGAGGCACTGTACGTTTTTGGGAAGCCAGTCTGACTGATGTTTTCATGTGAATTTAGTAGCCTGTGTTGTGAAAGTGGTGGTTTATTATAAGCTTTGTACTAAATTATTTTTCTTATTTAAATGATTGGTTAGAAGACTTTCTGATCTGTTGGGAGTATTCTGTTTTTTATTTCTAGGTTCGTATAATTCCATTACAACTTCAACGGTTATTTGCTCAGCTTCTGCTCTTGGACCAGCAGGCTGCATCTACAACAGACCTTACCGAGAGCTTTGGGTGGAACAGCCATGAGGTAGAAAACACCATCAGTGACACCATCATTGATTAACTGTCTTCTGAATGGAGAAGATTTTTTTTAAGTCTGACATTTAAGAAATATCTTAAAATACTTCAGGCTGTGGAGATAGCATTGAATTGGGTCAACTATTCTTGTATACTATTGTATCTGCCATGAAATCTATGCCATTTGTTTACAGTGAGCAATAGGAGAAAATTGTTCTGTTAGATACCATTTCAGTAGCTTTTCCGTTGTTTTTACAGGAACATTTTTCCAACAGCAGTTAGAGTTCTTGGTCTTCAGTACTTAGATTCTTAACTTAATTGATCTGTGTGTCTCATCGCAGAGTGCAGTCTAAATCTACCCAAGTGATTGTATTTTATGTGGGTTATAGTTTATGTACTTGCTGCTACTCGGAGAGCATAACTAAATTAAGGATATCAAATAATAAAGATAGTAATTTACTACTCAAGGTAGTAAATATATGGGTAGTCCCTGAGGCAGCTGTCTTTGTCACGCTTAATATATGTTGCTTTTAAGCAATAAGCAAAGCAAATCACAGTAATTTATTTCTTCAAGTTTGGTTTTGTTTTACTGTGCAGGAAATGAGGCAGCATGATGTGCAGGAATTGAATCGAATTCTGTTCAGTGCTTTGGAAACTTCCCTTGTGGGGACTTCGGGTCACGACCTTATTAACCGATTGTACCATGGGATTGTTGTCAACCAGATAGTTTGTAAAGAGTGCAAGAATATCAGCGAGAGACAGGTAAAGCCTGACGATTTTCCAGCATATGTTTCTGTTCAGTCTGCTGAAGATACTTTATATGTTCTTTTGTTTTTTAAACTCCAAAAATCAGGACATCTTTCTTGAGGGTCACTAGTGGCCTTGTTGAATCTAGGTAGTGTTTATTGGTTAGAGCACCACAGATGTGAAAACAAAGTTATACATGAATTTGCTAAGTATTGGCTGGCATTTTCTGAATGACCTGCTCCAGGCTGTGACACAAGTGAAAAAACTAGTGTTACTGCATTTTCTGAGTTGGCCAGTGTTGCTTTAGTAGATGTAGTTAATGGAGAGCTGAACAGTGAGGTAACAATAGTAAAGCTTGTATTTACGCTCTTATGCTCATTTAATTTAAAAAAGTTGGACATTCTTTGTTTTGTTTGGGTTTTTTAAATTAATTTCTCTTCTGTGGATGTATGGGGGTTTTTCCTCATCAGCAATGAAAGCAAAATGAATGTTTACATCTACTGTGGTGAATGGGTTGAGTATCTTTCTAATGTATTGTAAACTTACACTATTTACTGCCTTATTTTTATGTTGTACTTCTGCGTAGGAAGATTTCTTAGACCTAACAGTGGCGGTAAAAGGTGTTGCTGGCTTGGAGGAGGCCCTGTGGAACATGTATGTAGAAGAAGAGTACTTTGAAAATGAGAACTTGTATTGGTGTGGAGCCTGTGATAAACTTGTTGAAGCTTCAAAGGTAATGCATTGGTGATTATCAGTGTTCAGTTTGCTAACAGGAGCTTTGTTTACCTTGCATTCACACACCTCTTCTGCAGCTAGCTTTGGGCATGGCAGATGATAGGCTAAAAGATAAGCTAAGAGATAAAGAAAAAATGCACGTAATGAAGAAAACCATGAAAGTTGCATTGTTTCCCTGGTGCTGAACAGGTTCTTGCAGTGATAAATTTAACACCTTAGTAGATGTTTGCAGTACGTTCTATAGTGCTAGAGCCTTCAGGGGAGAGAGAGCGTATTCATGCTAAGAACCATCCAGCTCTCCTGATGTGTAAGTCACGGGGTGTATTTTCACTGCGTATGCCTGTGTGGTTCTCATCAGCTGACTTCTGGTATAACCACCGCCATTTCATGTCCTCTCTTGGTGAGCTTTTCAACCACTTGCTGCATGCGAAGCCAGTGGCTTCTGCTCATGGGAACCACCAGGAGTTTCCCTCCATTAGAGAGGGGAAAAAAAAGAAAATCCAGGCACAGCAAAGACACAAAATTGTGTTCCTGTGATCAGAATGTGGAGTGTGAAAATCTTCTCCTTCAGGCTGTAGCTTGAAGATGCATTTGGAGGAAGCAGATTGGTTTAGCTGTTGAGTTATGCTGCTTGGTCACAGCCTTCTAGTGAATGGCTTACTGCTTTGATCTGTGCTCAGCTATGGGTGAGAACTGTTGGGTTTGAATTGTTTTTTCAAACATTAGTTACAAAGCCAAATCTGGTGACCTTTTCCTGTGCTGAGTCATCAGAACTCCTCAATGTTCCATGGAGAACTGTTGACATTAAGCCTGTGTTGTTTGAGATTGGTCCCCAGGAGCTCAGGGACGTCCAGACTAGAGTACTGCTTTGTCTGCCTAGTTCCCTTCCTTCACCCCTGGGCCCCTTGGGAGAGCTTCAGATGCTTGACACTTGTTGACATTGGCATCTTGCAGAGGAGTTGTGTATGTGACCTAGAGCGCTTTGTTAAATGGTGGCACGGTTAACACTGGTCACTGTCTGTATCCAAGTGCAGCCTGCAGCATCCTTGTGCTGCCAGCTTGTCCCTGCTGGTTTACAGAAGTATGGACTAGTTTCCCCAACATAGTAATTGAATTTAAAATTTTTCTGTCTTGTCATTCATCTCTTTAGTCAGGGAAGGGCAGCCCAGGGAGAGTTTTAAGGGAGTTGTAGGTCTTTGAATTACATTTTCCACAAAGATAAAAAGCGGTGTGTGGTTTTCTTCTGTGATAATTTTTGTGAAGGGGAAGCAAACGCAGGCAGTTGGTGCACTCTGCCTTTGACTAACTCTGCCCTCTTCACAACAGTGGAGCTCTCTGTCCTACTGTGGTAACTTTCTTCTGCAGTATGATGAGGGCAATCCAGGCCTTGCAGCACCCTTAGTGTGGGAGGGAGTGGGTGCAAAGGCAGGCTGAGGACAGGTGAAGTTAATCAGTGACTCAGGAGTTCAGGAATATTTGTCAGTGCCTCGTATGTCTTGGTTATAAGGGCTTGTTTGAGTTAAACTTTCCTGGGTTCAAGGTAATGCGAGATAAGAGTTGTTTATCTCTCAAATGTGCTCAGTCATGCAAGAAGACAATCGGAACTTTGAACCTGGATAAGAAGTAACGTAACCGGGGGATGTCGGGGTGTGAAGGGACAACAAGAGAGGGGCTGTGCTGGAAAGCTGTAGTGGAAAGGAGGGACATTGTGTCAGCACAGCTGCTGCCTGTGACCTGCTTTCCTTCAATACTCTGTGGATCTTCAAATGTTATTCTTCATCCTTTTTCATCTTGGCCTCTAGAGGTATCAGTAGTTGAAGAATCTCATGTTCCAGAACTTTATCATATTTTAATGGTACAGTCTTATTTTTCACCATAAACTTGGAAGAACGTACAAAATCGTTCGTGCATTAAGCTCTGCAACGTAGTCTTCACAACTGATGCAAATGAAATACCTATTTCACAGGGTTTCTTAAACCATATATGTGCTCCTGGGAGACTCTCTGTTATGGCTCTGCAAATGAAGAGTTGGATGGAGACATTGGAAAGGCTCAGAAGCACGTCCATTGAATCTACACTTACATTCAGAGGTTATATGAGATGATGGTTTTGCCTCACACCAGAGTTCCTGATGTGCTCATGCTCCACGTCATTCAATCTTGATTAGCACTCTTTCTTACTAAAATGGATTATGTTGGTTTTCCTGCCTTGAAGATCCTCTCCTGTGTAAATGAGAGAGACTTTAACCCTTGCTTGGTTGTTCTGTGTCTGGCTGTAGGGTCTTCCAGGGTAAGACCTACTCCCTGCCACACATGCACAGCATTCTGCTTGTTTATTGTAGCCCATGGATGTTAGTCAAGGCCCTTTTTTTCAAGCAGCTTGGCAGAGCTTAAGCAAGATGCCACTGTGATATATTCTGCTGACATTTTTCAGACTATTTCTGTTGCATTCAGAGGCAGCCCAACGATCACTGAGCAGCAGGCTGCAAAATACACGTGAGAGCAATCTTTTTCTGACCAATATACACCAGTCAGAGCTAGTTACATTACAGATAGGATTGTTTCTGACTCACACATTTGAAGAAACCGTGCCTGTATGAGCCCTGACCTATGCCTGGGGTCACACAACCCTGGACAACTGAAAAACTCCTCAAAGGTCATTGGAATAAAACTCACGTGATGTAAAAATCCTTTGTTTGGAGGAGATGACCAGGAGGGGCCAGAAGAGCAATAGCTCCAGCCTCAATTAAGGTTATTCACTTGCAGCAGAAGCAAACATATAGGTTATATTTGTAGTTTACACTTCATTTATAGCTTTTTTTTTTTTTTGCGGGGGAGGGTGGCTTCAGTGCCTGCACCAGATGATGAGCGCCTGTTCATCTGGGAATGGTGAAGCTACCATGAAGCTGTGTCACTCTTCTGCAGCACCTGCTTTTCAGCAGCAGTTGAGTGTTTGTGCTTTTTTTCTATGGGCTCCCAAAGTCTGTGTGGGACTGATGTGGACTGCAAGGGGCTGAGAGCAAAGCTGCTGGCAAGATGCTGTATTGTGTGACTTCATGCGTAAGCACAGACTCAGGGGTTTGAAGTAGTTGCTTTTTAGTATAAAATTCAAGAAAATCCTGTCACAACGATTTATGGAAATGTAACTACTGATGAGAATTTCAGCCATGTCCTCCTTCATTTTCTATAGGAGGATAAAGTATGGGACTGGTGATCGCCATTCAGGAAAGGTGTAGAGCTTAACAGAGAAGAAGGGTCTGGATTGCTGTGAGGATCTCAGGTTCATAGGGAAATTGAGAACTAGGGAAGACATTTTAAAAATGAAGGCACTGCTCGTGTCTGCCTGGTTGTAATGAAGCTTTGTTGGAGAAGAGAGTTGACCATAGCAAAGTGGACACATTATTCTCTATAATTCTGTGCTTACAGTTTTTTTAATCATTTGACAGTCTGCTAAACTACGCAAGTTGCCACCCTTTCTCACCATCTCTCTCCTGAGATTTAACTTTGACTTCAAGAAGTGTGAACGATACAAGGAAACGAGCTGCTACACGTTCCCTATCCAGATTAACTTGAGGCCTTTTTGTGAGCAGGTCTGTACTGTTACATTTATTAAAGTTTCTATGTACTCTGCAGAGAACCGATATCTCAAGAACAACTTTTATTTTGTGTTTTGTCAGGGCAAGGTATTTGAGAAACGATGGGGGGGTTTTCCTCTGTCCCTAATTCCGAATTTTTGGATTTCCAATTTGTTTTCAAAAGATTGCTTTCTAACTGAGAAGGAAATAGCTTCTAGCTGTAGAAGGGGGAAGGGTATAATAATTACCTGAACAACCTGACATTTGCTTGGAAGGAAGATTATCACCTGGAAATCGGAATTGAATTTCTTTTTGTGGTGTCACTGTTTTCTAACATCATGTATAAACTTAGCTATGTATGTTTTATGTGCCTGTACTTATAGAATTTTTCTTAGGAATCTCTATGCCTTTGTATATATGTCTTTTGATTATAAAATGAACTATACCAATGCTTGATGACAACTTTTAATCCTTAAAGTATATGAAGAATGTACTTAGTAGGGGCACTGTTATTGAAAAATAAAATTTTTCTCATAGAAATGTTGCAGTGCGAGCTTGGAAATTTCTCAGTGCTTGCATTGGAGGAAGCCTCTTTTTTTCTGGTTGGTTTGTGTATATAAATGTGTTTCTTGTTTTTTCTCTAGTCTTTTAAACAGAATAAGGCTGCTTATGAACAAGCAGGTTGGGCTGTTCTGTTATTTGCATCTATATTTCATTATTTCAAATTTGCAACTTCCCATATTGTTCACAATCATGCTTAAAATGAAGTTGCTTAATAAGCGTGTGCCTTGGTCCATGATTTGTTAGGCCACACTCCTGTTCCCCAGCACTGAAAAGCCATTTCAATCTCTGCACATGTGAATGCACACTGAGAAATATCTGGAGCTATGTTGATGGTGTAAAACTGTCCTTGTGTGAAAGACTTACTGATACATGTTATTGTTACTGTTATTGTTTTTCTTTTTAAAGACTGAAATGGATGATTCAGAGTACATGTATGAGCTCTTCTCTGTTATTATACATAAAGGTGGCTGCTATGGAGGACACTATCATGTTTATATCAGAGATGTGGATGAATTAGGAAACTGGCAGTTACATGTAAGTCCTAAAGACCTTTCTTCCTATGTCTCACTTTTCAGAAAAGCATTAAGAGCTAGTGGATGAAACATACATCCAAACTAATGAATATTTTAGTGAGGTATTTAATCTCTTACCTTGTTGAGAAGGTAAGTTTTCCACCTCTGTAAAGGTTTTGTAGCAAACTGTAGCTTTCCGACCTGTTGAGCTGCCTCACATTACTGGGCTCACTTTTTCTTTCCCAGATGAATTAATATCTTTGCTCAAGACTAGCACATCCATTTTAATGGATTACTCTGGCTGGCTATTCTAAATAATGTAAATGCCTTTTCTGTTAAAAAACTGATAGTGGATGTTCTGTATGATGATACACAGTCTGTAGTGGGTGGCAGAGGCGGCTTATCAGAACTTACTTCACATTTCTGACTTGTGCATGCTAATGTTAGTAGAGATGACAATCAAAAACCTGGTTGTGTGTGAAACTGCAGTATTTGTGAGTCTTGGGGTTTTTTTTAATATAGGAAGAAGAGGACAGGCTCATTGAAGATAAGGCTTTAAGAGATACTGAAAATGCCAAAGACGTAGAGAATCCACTGGCAATGTTGAAAGGGATTTTGGCAGAGGTATGGTATATAAGGAGTTCATTGCTTTCATTTTGGTACTACGGAACCTAGAAGAGGTTAGTGTATGCAAGAGCAGACGGGTTGAAGTGTTCAGATCTGTCCTGAACTTACCGTGAAGCGTGTAAAACTTTTAACTTAACTTGCCTTTAATATTAATAGTGGCTCTTCATACAGAAAATGGCCCTTTTTGAGTATTTTTTAAGTTGCTTGCTGAAACTGTTACAAAAAGTGATGTTACTTTGACTTGTTAACAAACAGGAATGGTTTAAGCACTTCAGAATTGGCTTCTTTGTGTTGATCCCTTGACTTTTGTAGCCTTCATTATTCTAGTTTTTAATTTATTTGTAGGAAGAATCAAAACAAATTCCCGTGGATCAATTAGGGCAGAAGTTATTGGAGAAAAAAGGAGTGTCCTGGAATAAGAAATACCGAAAACAATATGGAGCGTTACGAAAGGTAATATGCATATATGTTAATTTGTTTTTTACTGTTAAGATAACTTTAAAGTTGTATTTCTACTGAGTAGTCAGTCGGATGTTAATTGAAATTATTGGCACTTGGACTAGCAAAATACAGCATGTGTAAGAGAGGTTTGTAAGATAAATTAGGAGACTGGGGAACAGAGACAAGACTCTCAATGGATTGTCTGCCTGAAAGCTTGTATCTTTTCCCTCATCTATATTAACCTAAAAACGAATTAACTTTACCAACTGAACCTTGTGTCACTTGTGTTTGTGGATGAAGCTGCAACAACACTACTACCACATGAAAAACCTTTTTACTGTAAGGGTGACAGAGCACTGGCCCAGGCTGCCCAGAGAGGTTGTGGAGTCTCCTTCTCTGCAGACATTCAAAACCCGCCTGGACGTGTTCCTGTGTGACCTGGTCTGGGTGATCCTGCTCTGGCAGGGGGGTTGGACTGGTTGAGCTTTCGAGGTCCCTTCCAACTCCTGAGATTCTGTGATTCTGTGATGAACACAGAAGTGCTGATGAGAATTAAAGAAGAAACACAGTACCTGTTCACAGTAATAACAGAAATGAAGTTTTGTAAATATATGCTATTTTTTGGTTGATTAGGGCATGTCCCTGAAATTAACACTTCCAGTAAAATCTGTTTTGTCAAGTGGTTACTGAATTTTCTAATGCTTTAAGGAAAATACTTCAGCATTTGTGTTTCAGATACATGGAAAATTTAATGTCTGACTTTTTTAATAGAACAAAGAGTGTAGCTTTCACAGGAGTTACTTAAAAGTAGTTGTGGAATCTGAATGCAAGTCTTTTGCAGAAGTAGATGCTTTTCTGACTTAGACAGGGAAGTGACAGAAACAAGTTGTGAGCAGCCCAGTATTAGTTTCAAGGAGTGCTGTTGTGAATATTACCAAACCTGACTTTTCACAAGTGCTGTATCTATACCCAAAGCACATTGGTCAATGCAGGACTTGCATTATTGAAATAACTGTACATTGGTTTACACTTCAAGTATCAAATTATTTTTTTGATTATGATTGAAACTGAAATTCAGATTTTGGGAGTTTGTTTTTGTTTGGTTTGGGGTTTGTTGTTTTGTGTGTGTGCAGGTTTGGTGTGGTTTTTGGTGTGGGGTGGTTTTTTTGTTGTTGTTTTTGTTTTTGAGGAGATTGGGTGGTTTTTGTAGTTATGTGGGGGGATTGGAGGGTGGTTGGTGTCATCCTTGCCCCCCCATCCCTCAAAACCTACGATTTTGTTGGTGTAATTTGGACCCCAAGCTTGTGTGAAGTATCTCTTTGCTGCTAAAATGGAAGTAGAGAACAGAGTAGACAAGCTGAGCCAAACTGTGTGAGTGGGCTTTAAGTCCTTGAGATGCCATAATAGGCAGTGTTAATTAGGGTAAGGTACAGCTTAGCAGACCAGAAGTGAGCTCAAGATCCCCGTCTGGTAAATATGGAAGGGAACACTTCTGCAGAGGCTAGGGAGCAGAAAGTACCGATGTTAGTGGCCTAAGTTAGTTGGGATGGTACTCTGTGTCTGATACAGCAGAAGCTTTTTGATTACCTGTAGAGCATCACTCCCTATGTGACCTTTCCAGGGACAGAGAGTATGCACTTGTAAGAAATGTTTTAAAAGGACTGCAGTGTCTCGGGCAATCATTGAAATTCAGCAGTTAGTCTGATTTAATTCTTAGTGATGCATATATGTTGAAAACAATTCTTTTGCATTTTCTTGTGTGGTAGTTTGAAGTTACATAAGAAACAAAGCCAGGAACAGCATATAAAAGATCAAGCAGATCAGTGGTGGTAGGAAAATTACATGTTTCTGGCTAAGCTGAGGAGATACATTAGGAAGCATCATAAAACCAAGTTTGAAGGGATGAGATGGGGGTTTGTGTATTAATCTGAGGCTGAATCAGGTGAAATGGCTAATATCTATATCTAAATCTGGCTGTCGTCTTCATCTTGTTCTTGGTTTTCTTTTAGTATTTGCAGAATCATCCTCAGATATTTCAGTTCAGTCCTGATGAAAATAAGGTTGGTCTGAAGGAAAAACACAAGCTCCCATTTAAGTCAGATTCTCAAGGACAAGATCTCCAAAGCCTTGCTCAGAAGAACGGCATCCAGTGGGATTCAGGAAAAAAACCTACAAAGCTAAGGAATAGTTCTGCTGGTTGCCATTGGTTTGATCTGAATGATTCCAAAGTCCAGCCAATCAAGGAGAAGGATATTGAGAAACAATTTCAGGGCAAAGAGAGTGCCTACATGCTGTTTTATCGAAAATCTCAGTTAAAAAGACCACCTGAAGGTACACAAAGCTCATCTTGATATTCTGGGGGCTTTCTTCATTAACAGTTTGTTTTCTGGAGGGCAGAGGCTCTTGAGCCTTCATGTTCTTTTCAAGAATTGAAGATATGGTTTTCTTTCTAGTGCGTATCTGAAAAAGGGTTAACTAAGATAAACAGGAGGTTACCTCCAAGGAGGTAGTGACCAGTTAATTGGCTGTAGCTGGCATTGACTTTTCTCTAGTACACTTCGCAAATACTAGCAGAACATCTCCTGCCAAAACAATACTAGTTGTTGCTAACAGTATTTGCATATCAGTTCCCCTTAGGGGAAAGATTGATGGGAAGAAGTAAAAGCAGTTGTTTGTTCTTTGTATCATCTTGCAATTTAATTTTCTTTATTATGAAAGAATGCAACATTATTGCTCTGACTTTTCAATGATTACTGTACTGTAATGTCTCATCTTGATCGCTTTTCTTGTTTGCCAAAACACGTTTTTAAGCAGCTGAGGCCAAACTAGCCTATATTATTTGTTGCAGCGCGAGGAAATCCAAGGTACCAAATTCCTGAACACCTTCTGAATGAAATGAATGCTGCTAATACTGAGCTGCAAAAAAAGAGGTATATTAATGTAACTGTTCCAGTCTCTTGAACAGCATTCTTAATCTGCAGATCTCCAGAGTGATTTAAAATGAAAGAAGCTAATTGAGTAGAGCCGGATACTAAAGTGATTCAATGTCATAGAGGTTAATCGAGGAATACAACTTGTATGTCCAAATTCTGCCTTCTGCTGGTTCCTTGCCTCCCTGTTAGTGGCATAACTAGGCATTCTACAGAATTTCAAGGAAAACTTACTTAAAGTTTAAAATTGTACCCTTTTTTGGTGAAAATTGGTGCAATTCTGGAAGAAACATGGAATACATTATCTAAATTACATTTGTAGAGGGAGTTCTCCATTGGGAGAAGGAGGAATGACTTACTTTACTGTGAAACAACAGATAAATGGTATCCTTTGCCAGAAACGTGGAGGAAAGAGCTAGGGGTATTCAGGTTGGCTGGAACTTTTTCTTCTGTTGAGGAACACACAGAACTGATGATGTGCCTGAATTGCAGTTAAGCTATCAAAATCTAGATGCACACAAGAGACACAAGACTTGTGTGATATCTGCACTCTGCAAATTTCACTCCTTTATTTTTTAAAATGGTGTATTTGCTGCTACATTTAGCTAATAAAACTGGCTACAGGTATAAAGGAGGAAGGCATGGCTGTGTCTGTCCTGACTCGGTTTCCATGCTGTTTTTCTGTCTCTGCATTTCAACAGAGTACTGATCTGGAACACAGCCTGAAAAAACCTAGAATTTCCACATCCCTAAAGACCAAGTTTGCCATTCTGTTTAGAAAGGTAGAAGCGAGGTATAGAAACACACAGCAGGTACTGTTATAGTGCTTATCTGAAAGATGTCTACCCTAGCTCTGTATTGTACAACACATAAATAAATTGCTGTCATCTTTGAGCACCTCTTTGCATACCCCTTGATGGAGGGGATAATGAGACAGCAAATTGAGTCCTGAGGCTATCAATTCCAGGACAACTGCACAGAAGCATCTCTGGCATAAGGTAGCCATTTGTTGGTGTTAAATTCACCAGTTTATTGTTGTGTTATTCTTTCCAAGAGCGGAATGTGACTCAGCAAACAATGGCATTGATTTACACCTCCATTTGAGCTCATGTTATAAATTTCATAATGGGGCTTTGCATCCTTCACTTACTTGGAAAGAAAGTGTTGTGGATTTGACTATTGACAGAAGAAAAACTCTAGGAGATCTTCAACAATCGGTATTCCAGGTACTTGCTATGTTCAATGAACTCAAACATTTGATTTTCACGTGAGCCATAACAACATTTACAGATGTATTTCTGCTGCAATTTTTAGCTCAATGAGAAATTTTCAATGGTAAATGTAGTTTTAGGGGGCTAAAAACTATATGGGTTTATACCAAAGGAAACATTATTTTGAGGTCTGTTCTCAGAGTATTTAAGAAACCATGAAGTTGGTAAAACTTTATGTAGACTGTTAAGCTCTCATAAGCTAATTATTTATATTTGGGTAGCATGTATGTGGGCTCGGATTCAAACTTTGCAGAACTCCAGGCTTATTCTTTCCAGTTCTGTTTGCGACAGATTTGTCTTTGTATTTTCAAGGAGCTAGCTGGCCTTAAAAGGAAACAATCAGAGTATAAGAAAAGAGAAAATCAGTTCAAGGAAATATTAGCTTAACTATTGAATGTGGCGTCTTTGCATTTATTCTTTACTATGTTAAAGGAATTTGACAATCTGTAAAATGTTTTTTGTAGATATCTAAATCAAAGATAACTTAGTGTCAGGAAACACTGTTTGCTTTACCTGTACCTCAGAACCTTTGGTTAGTGTCCAGTTGAAACATGGTTTTCAGCTATCTGGTGACTGGTCTGAAAGACCAAGTCCTAAATGCTTGACTGTTTTCTCTGGTACTAGCCTTGTGGAAGTAATTAGCTAGAACTTACTAAGTGTCAAAGTGAGCTTGATAGCCAGACTGGAACGGCTTTCAGCAAAGTTGGAATGTTGAGTGATGAGACTTATTGCTTGCTGCTGTTCTATACATATTTATATTATTATTTCCAATTAGATGTTGGAATCTTGGGAAGGAGACATGATTCTCAGTATTGCCAAGCCTTTACCTGCAGGACTGCATCTTTACCAAGTACTTGAAGGTAAGACTATTACACACAAGACTTCCGTGTTATTTATATGTTTGTGTTTACTGCAGACATACTGGATTTCATATATAAAACATCTTGGGGATGTGTATTACTGAACGCTCCTCAAACTCAAACTTATGTGCAAGTCCACTGCTGTTAACTTTAGGACACACTTACTAGTGAAATTGAGGGTTTTGAGACTTTTATATAAAATCTTTGTTGTGAAGTGCAGTAAGATGGCAGAACTTATGCAAGTTAAACACATTTGCTGACAAAAATGTATCAGCCTGTATGTTAACCACGATTTACTTAAGAATGTTTGCTTTCATAGTATTTACCTAGTAGGTAGAGGAGAGGATAGAAGAGAGGAGCCAAGGTGACATCAAAGGAAATTGAAGGTTAGACCTAAGCCGAAGCAGGGAAATGCATACATAAAGACTACATTAATTTATTAATTTAAGTGTACATTAGTATTTTTAAATCAGGAGTTCTGTCTCCAGCTTTGCATTGTTATGTTTTGTTCATCTTCAAAAGTCTGTTCAGCCGTTTTTAAATTTTATAGTCTTTCTGATTGATTTTTTTCAGAAAATTAGGATTCTACCAGAACATAATCCAACTTCCCATGATGTTTACATCAAAATTTAGAGGCACTAATAGCTGCTGTAAATATTCCTCCAGATGCTAGTACAATTTTTTTAAGTGACAACGACTCTTAAAAATATCTGAATCTGACTTATGGTATGAAAGGAAAAGAAATTGCAGCGTGGGCATTGGTATTGCAAAGAATGGGCTTAGCATGTGCAGTATGTGACTCATTTATTAAATCCAATGTTTTCATTTTAGACCTATTGATCAACTGTTAAATCTCATGTAGATAATCCTGACCAAGCAGCTTTGCCAAGTGCCAACTTGGGCCTCAGTTTGCAAGGGAAATGGAGTTGACACCTGCGTGCTGCAGTCCTCTTTACTCAATGATAATGCTTTATGGATGTTTACCCACTTGTGTTACTCTTGCTACATGAGTCACCCTTAACTTACCCCCTGTAAATGCTGATCATGCAGCAGCTTTTGTAATGATACACTTGAGCCAGAGTAGAACATGTCAGCATATTTTGGTTTACCAGCTGACCCTGCCTTTCCTTTTTGCTGGGAGGGAAGAAGCTGATGATTTGCTCCTTTTTAGGGCGTGAGCTGACACTGGATGGCATTGGGCTGGCTGATGGAGCGGACATCTTTGTGTGGAATGGGAAAGAGGTAAAAGAAACCAATACTCCCTCTCCTTGTCAGATCTGAATAGATAAGATGCAGTCTCCAGACGTTTTTGGAAATGTACATCTGTTCTGCAGATGTGGCACTGACATACCAATGTTGGCTTTGGGGACACCTCTTCAATCTCACCTAGGATACTACGTTTTTCCAGCTTGTCAGTATACCTTGATTGATGTACAGTGTGCTGCTTGATAAAGTTATAAATAGAATTAAATTATGCAGAATGCCATATGGTCAGATCGATAGTTGCCTGTAGATATCCAATGCCAGTTACATTGGAGTTTGTTCTGAAAACCTGTGGTGCTTCTTGGAAGGACATTAATCACAGAATCACAGAGCATGAGGAGTTGGAAGGGACCTCAAAAGCTCATCCAGTTCAACCCCCCTACCAGAGCAGGATCACCCAGACCAGGTCACACAGGAACACGTCCAGGTGGGTTTTGAATGTCTGCAGAGAAGGAGACTCCACAACCTCTCTGGGCAGCCTGGGCCAGTGCTCTGTCACCCTTACAGTGAAAAAGTTTTTCCTCATGTTCAGATTGAACCTCCTATGCTCCAGGTTGCACCCATTGCCCCTTGTCCTGTCATTGGCTGTCACAGAGCAGAGCCTGGGTACTTAATCCTGACACTCGCCCATTACCAATTTAAAAACATGAATGAGGTCTCCCCTCAGTCTCCTCTGCTCCAAGCTAAAGAGACCCAGCTCCTTCAGCCGCTTCTCATCAGGGAGATGTTTCTCTCCTTCCATCATCTTTGTAGCTCTGCGCTGGACTCTTTCAAGCAATTCCTGTCCTTCTTGAACTGAGGGGGCCAGAACTGAACACAATATTCCAAATGTGGTCTCACCAGGGCAGAGTAGAGGGGAAGGAGAACCTCTCTGCCCTACAACCACAGCCCTTCTGATACACCCCAGGATGCCATTGGCCTTCTTGGCTCAAGGGCACATTGCTGGCTCATGGTCATCCTGCTGTCCACCAACACCCCCAGGTCCTTTTCTGCCTGGCAGCTCCAGCCACTCATCCCCAAGCCTGTAGCGCTGCATGGGGTTATTGCAACCGAAGTGCAGGACCCGGCACTTGGCCTTGTTGAAGCTCATCCAGTTGGCCTCAGCCCATGGATTCAGCCTGTCCAGGTCCCTCTGCAGAGCCTTCCTACCCTCAGGCAGATCAACACTCCCTCCCAACTTGGAGTCATCTGCAAACTTGCTGGGGGAGCACTCAGTCCCCTCATTGGTTGATATTATTGGTTGATATGACATTGGTTGATAGTAAGGTGCTAATAAAAACTTATAATGTCTAGTGAATAATTTCACACACAAAATTAGACCTATCAGTGACAGCTTCCGTGTATGATCTCCTTGAAATATTGTGCTCCTTTTCTAGTGTTGCATCTTCCTTTTAATATTAAGGCTTCTGCTTGACTTTCAAATATTTGCCTCAGTGTTTATGCAATGCAGCATCGTATTCCATCTCTGTAATGGAATAAAATTTTACTTTTCCAAGATTTTTATTGTAAAAGTATACATTTTATTTCTGATTTATAAAAACAAAACCAACCAAACAAAAAGAAGCAAACAAAAACCCCATCTAGTAATAGAGTTGTTCTTATCTTGGTTGCACTTTCGGTATAGTCTTCACTACTCCAGCTTCGAGTGTGACTAAATTGCCTTCAGCAAGGAACTATATTCTTTGCCTAGGTTGAATATCAGAAAGGGTAGATTTGAAAATCTAACTCTCTTGATCTGCCTCAGCCACACTTTGGGCTAGTTCTTTAAAATCCTTAGGGGCTAAATTCCTCTATTAATCTGTCCAAGTGTCCACTGGTTTCCGTGCTACTGTTTCTGATATATTTCTTATATGTGCAGACTTGGAATAGACCTTAGCATTATGCTTTGTCTTCCCAGCACCTTTGAGTTGCTCTAGTTGTTTCTTCAGTAGGCATTTGATCAGACGTGGTTTATTTTCATCTCAATTTTAGTGTTGCCATGTATTGCTGTCCAGTCTCTTCTGTATTTTATTGATCACCACTGCGTAATTCTCACGTTCCTTACTTCAGGTTGGTGGTACAAAGGTGATGACAGGCCCTGATCATGAACCTGTGGTCATAAATGTTCTTCGTTTAGCGGAGTATAATGAAGGAGGGAAGGGTCAGCATTTCACAGAGTCGCAGCACGTCTTTTCATGCAGCACAAAACTGGGTGATCTGCGCAGAGCCTTGGCACCATCAGGAGGAATCATCTTAAAGAATGGCTCAGGACCAGATAAAGAAGCCAAGAACTGGGAAGTTTTTCTTGAAGAAGATATGAAGGAAACAGTCAGAAGTGTTGGTCTGATGGATGGATGCTCTGTACTAATCTTAGACAGCCATGATCAGAGGTAACCATTCTGATTACAAATACAGTTAAACAAGAAAGCAATTTTGTCAATCTTTTTAGTTAAAATTACGTTAGCTATGTGTGTGTGTATATATATATAAAACTGTCACTGAGCTTTTGAATTCAAGATAGTGTACTCTTAAGTTCTGAGGATCAGATACTTATCAACTATTAGATATTTCTTTGCTCTTGAAGTGCAGATGCAGTCACATCCTTTGACTTACACTTGGAAAACGAAAAACCTAGCGAGAACAACTTGTGCCCAGTGTGCTGGCACACCTTTGGCATAACCTGAATTTCTGATGTTTAAGTTGTGTGGTTCTCTGATGGACTTGGTGGGATGAGTGAACAGAGCAGTAGCAGAAGAGTATGCAGCTCAGCTGAATCTCCCAGTGGAATCTGAAGTTGTCAGGGGCAAATTTCTGGTTTCTATTTTCCAGTTTGTAGCCCTGAGGTTAGGTTCCTATTTTCAGACATGTGTATGTGCTTGTGACATGAATTCTGACCTTTCTAGCTGAAACAGTACTGAAAAACTGATAATAAATCAAGAAGGGAGAGGTTTCTTCATCAGGAACTGTTTCTGTGTTTATATACAGTAGTAGAGACAGAAAAATCTCAAAATTAAGTTATGACTAGGTTTGCTTTTACAGTGTTTTTTGGTTTTGTTTGTTTGTATTGGTTTTTGTTTGGTTTGTTTTGTTTTTCTCCAGAAACCTTTAAATCCAGCCTCAGAAAGTGACTTAGATTCTGAAGTACCTTCAGGAGGCTCAGGTCCCATTGAAAGCCAGTTACCAGAACGTATTTTTTACTGGTTTACTCTGTAACTAGCCCAGAGGTGCCTGGATGCTTCCCGAGGCCTCTGACTCCTCCTCTGTGACATCCCATCACTATTAATGACCTATGCATAATCAGTTTATTTGAGAGCTTTGGTATTTAGCGATAAGCCCAGATAATGTGTAGTTTTCCTGTCTTTGACTACGTTTGCTCTTTTTCACAGCTTCGTGAATGTATCAAGTGGCAATTTGACTGCTTTTACATATGACATCAGCTGGCTCCAAGTTAAAAACTTCTGCAGAACGGATGACGAAGAGAAACTCGTTAAAATTACTGCCACTGTTGAAACAGTAAGGAGTCTGATTGTTCAGGGATACCACACAGGCTGTTTCCTTGAAAAGCTTGGCCAGTGCACTTGGATTTAGCCTCAGATCTGAAGCTTTTCTGTGGTGAAAATAGCGTGCATCTCAGTGTTACCATTACTGGAATACTTTGGCTGCTGTGTAATAAGACTGTAACGCTGGTAACTTAAACCAGTACCGTCTATGTTAGCGTGAACAACTTTCTTTTCAGACCATCCTGGAATTTTATGTTTGAGGCTATGTCAGTAAACAAAAGCTAGAAGAGGAGAAAAGTAGTATTTCTTGCTTTTAACATAGGATGAGAAAAAATGCTGATTTTTCACAAAGGGCTGAACTTCTCTGGTACCTTTTCCACCTTTTAAATTATTTCCTATTACAGAAAATATAAAGTATTACTTAGTTTTGCTCACAGAATTACTGTTTGTGAGATAATTGGTCTTTTGTCAAATCAAAAAATTAAATACCACTTTATTTCCTTTGGAATGCTGTTTTAAAGGAAAACTTTCACAAATGTGTCATGCTTTCAGTACATTCATTATGTATATTTGATACGATAATGTTAAAGAAATATTTTTCTTAGCTGTGTATAGTGTTGACAGGAGTAAGAACGTAACTAGGATGCATTTCAAGTGAAGGCTGCCTTTTGTGGACTGACATTTAAACAGCAGATGTGTTACTGGCATTCTGTATTAAAGGTGTTAATATTGCTTTCTCTAGGTGATGTCAGATATCAAAATGAAAGCGATACGGGAGCTTCAGCTAGAGGAGGAACTAGGTAAGTGTTCAGCTGCCTTCCTTTTAGATCGAACAATGCTAGGATTTACTGGCTGGCTTTCTGCTTTTTGCATCAGTCTTTCCAAACAACAAGACCATTGCTGCTAGGAGTTTGTTGGGGAAGAAATAGGGTGCAAAGGACTTAAAGGTTTATCTAATTTTGAATAAAAAAAAAATCAGTGTAAGTCTTGATTAAATTACATTTTATGAAGCTCTTATTTTTTCAGAAGCTGTTTGAATAGGAATAATCAGGTCTTGTTACTTAAGTATTACACTAAAAATTGAAGTTTTGTTATGTGTTTGGGTTTGTTTGTTTGTTTGTTTTTAACCTTATTCCTTTCTTAAGACATTCCAGTTTTCTTTCTTTAAAGGTTTGGTTGATGCCTTTACCTTTTGAAGCACTTGTCAGTTTTAAAGTGTTTTACTGATTGTAGCTAACAGCTGGCTTCAAAGAGGAAGTATTCTTTCACTGAAAGAATGAAAACTAGGACTGTTCAGAAGTCTCTAGGAATCTCCCTCTAATTGTACAGTTGTACTTTTGATGTTATACCCCCAGAGGGAGGCCTCGAAGAGAAACCTGTTTTCATTCATGTTAGAAGTTTAGACAGATAAAAAGAAATTTGGCTCAAATATTTTATTTGAATTACCTAATACAGCTATCTCTTTCCTGCCCTTTCTGTAACAGCAAATGACAGCTGCCTTAGACCTGTTAGTGGAAATGGGAAACTTCTTTCTCCAGGTAAGTTTATTTAATCATCGTTCTGTAAGAAGTTCAGCTAGGAGACTTTTAAGCTTCCCTTTGCCCTTTCCTGAGAGAAGTACATATGCATAACTCCACTAATTTCCAGGCTTAACTGAAGCATTTGTTTGATGTTTTAATCTTTATTAACAGTACCAATACAAGGGTAGAAGTTAAACTTAAATGTTCAGCTTGGTTTTATTACTTGCATTCCTAATGTGTAAGATTGATCAGCATACCTGCTATTGTTTATTGACCACTGGCCATGTGCTTCAGGACTGTGGGAATTAACAGAAAGTTCTGTTTCCCATACTTATTTTAGAAATTGAAAAGTCTCTAAATAATCTGTTTTGAATATTTAATACATTACAGAGCAACTTTACATATGTTCCAAGAAACAGTCGTTGTTCCATGTCTTTCTAACTTCTATTTCCTGAAACAAAATTGACTCAATGTATTTGTCAGAGTACTGATGTGCAAGGCTGGATTTCAGAACAGCTCGAGCAATGAACTTGAGTCCTGTGGTGATAAAGAAAGCACTGTTAGATTCCTGTTTACTATGAGAAGGCATCTTGCGCCTATGGTATATGAAGCACTCTGAATAACATGTGGATTCCTGCTTCTGTAAGAGTAGAGGGACATGTCGGCCTTTGATTTGGATGAGCATGTCGTGCTTGGTCACTATATAACTTAACGGCCAGTGTTCAGCAGAGAAGGGCCCCCAGCTTTGCTTTTGCCATTGTTGAGATGGCGGTGAGAAAATGAGTGGATCAGTTTTGTGCTTGCTGGGAAACATCATCTATGACTTAGCTGTTTTGCTAATATATTGCAGTAGTAAACACGGTCAGGAAGCCAAGGACGAGATTTAGTGCTTGTTAGACAACATCTGGAGTATTGTGTCCACTTCGGGGACTCCCCAGCATGAGAAATAAGCCCTTACAGACTAGAGGCAGCAAAGAGGAGAGCAGCACCCTGCAGTCTGGGAGCTGGAAGATATGAGATAGGAGGGTTTCTTTCAGCCTGAAGAGGAACAGTCTTGGAGAGGATGTGGGCAGTAATTGCCTTTTTTTAACTCTTTAGCATGGACCAGTAGAGAAGGCAGAGCCAGATTCTTCTCAGAGGTGCAAATGGAAAGGATCAGAGGCAGCAAACAAAAGGTTCAGCAAGGGAAACTCAAGCTGGGTATTGCTGGGGAGAGCAGGAATTTATACTGGGAATGGTTGAGCAGTGTACAGAGCCCTGGGAAGCTGCGGGGTATCCATCCCTGGAAATATTCAGAGCTTGACTGGAAAAAAACCAGCGTGAACTGATCTGACTTCAGAGCTGGTTCTGCTTTGAGCAGGAGTTTGGACCAGACAATGTACAAAGATCCCCTCCAACCTAAATTCTTTTGTCACCTCATATACAGGAGGTGGTGGGGAGGAACCTTTATGAAAATGTTGCTTTGCGCTTTTCATAGGAGGCTTACAGAGCTGATGTTAACACTGTGGAAATGAAGTTCTCTAAATGTCACTGAACATTTTTAACGTACTCTAAAGAGTGGCATAATAGAATGGACATTTTCAGGAAGCAGCTACTTATGTTAATCTCTGTGCTTTTGTCCTCCCTGAAGTGCCTGAGGATTATACCGTCAAAGAAGCGGAACTGAAAATGGGAAGCTTGCTAGGGCTGTGTCATGGGAAAGCTCCAACTTCCACTCAGGTATAGTAGTGCTGTGATTGAGGACAGTCTTGTGCTGCTTTTATGCTTTGTTCACATTTCCCAGTATTTCATGTAATCCTCTTTCATAATGGTTGTAAACAGCATGGAAAAAATAGCTTGGTGACGCTGAGCATTATATCTATCAGCATGAAGGCTCATGCCATTTATCTCAGTTGCAGAAAGCCAAGAGCAGCATATACGTGACCAGTTAATATAGTTCATGTAACTAATGGTAAATCATTTGTCATCCATCTATTTGTTGTTGTCCATCTTCTGTGCTCTGATGTGCATACACTTTTGTAAAGAGCATAAAGTAAGAAAAGGGATGTGTTACTCTTGATCTCTACAAGAGAAATATGCAAGAGAAGAAGTAGTTGCATATTACTAAAGATGAGAGTGGTAGCAGGCTTTATCTCTCAGTTGCAGCAGGCTGAGTATCTGTACAGCTGGTTAATGAAGCTGATGGTCATGGCTCAGTTGCATGTACTTCTCTGTCCTGCTTAGATTGCTTGCTTTAGCCCCAGGTAGTTTCAGTGCTCTTTGATGCCAGGCTTGCAATAGCTGGCACATGTGTGCATTAGGAGGTGTTTTTTCATAGGATTTTCATGCCTAAATATGTATTCTGATACGTTATATTTGCTTTTTTAGCTCTTCTTGTATTTTATTGTTGGGAGTGACCAAAATGCGAGCCCTGAGATGGAGATTGTTGTGGAAGAGACTGCCTCTGTCAAAGAGGTGAGTCTGGGTGCTTTCTGTTACAATGCCTGGCTCAGGTCTGCTGCTCCTGAAGAGCTTTGCCTTATACCTGAGTGTCACTTCAGGCCACCAGGAGGCACTGAGGCAATGGAAGTGTTTCAACCTCAAAAGACCAGAGAGAGGAATGCATTGATGCTTTACTAAGTACTGAAGAGACATACTGGCTTTTTCCCAAGGTTTAACATAGCCCAACTGCTTCATGCCTGGCTAGCCATTCCTTTTATACACAGCAGGCCTCAGCATGATACGCAATCATGGCAGAGCCTGCCACGGTTCCTTGTAGTTCATCAAACTCTGAATGCACAGAATTATCATAGAATCATTTAGGTTGAAGAAGTCCTTTAAGATCAAGTCCAGCTGTTAACCTAGCACTTGCAAGTCCACCACCAAGCCATGTCCCCAGACACCACACCTACGTGTCTTTTAAATACCTTCAGGAATAGTAACTTCACTGCTTCCCTGTGCAGTCTTTTCCAATGCTTGACAACCCTTTCAGTGAAGAAGTTTTTCTTAATATCCAATCTAAACCTCCCCTGGTGCAACTTGAGGCCCTTTTCCTCTCATCCTATCACTTGTTACTTGGGAGGAGAGTCTGACCTCCACCTTGCTACAGCCTCCTTTCAGCTGGTTGTAGAGACCGATAAGGTTTCCCCTTAGCCTCCTTTTCTCCAGACTAAACAACCCCAGCTCCTTCAGTATTGCCCACAAGTAGCAGCTGCAAAGTGTTGAGTTTTCAGATTTAGTTTCTACGAGGTGCATCTTCAAACTGTGGGACAGAATTTGTTCAAGTAAAGCAACAAATTGACAACGAAGATTTTTTTTTTTGTTTTAAACAGTTTGTATAAGCTGGTTCACCTGAAATAGTCAATTTCTTGCCTGAAAACAATTTCGTACTTGAAGGGTTTAATATATGGCTCAAATATACTATGCCTGTGTAATTATATTATTTTTAGGAATTGACCAGGAATCAGTCAGGTTTTGTTAGAAAATTTTAGCGTAGATTTGCTGAAAACTTTTATTTCCCAACCTATGCATTGAGGCAGTTCTCACTGTATGTTTCCTTTTTTCAGTGTCTAAATTTAATGCTGGAAAAATCTGGATTATCAGGTTAGTTGTATTATATTGTTATTTAATGATATTTTTAAAGGAATTCCCAGATTTCTAAGACAGCCCTTGCTACTCTAAGACTTTAAAAGTCCTTAAGTTTGTTACAATGATATATGTGAGGAGAGGAAAGAATTATAAACTTGCAGTTTTGTTCTGCTAAAAGTTGGCTGTGCAGTTGCTATTGAAAATGAGTTTCGAGCTTTCTATTTAATCAAATTATGGGAAAATCCAGTTCCTAGACTATTTGCTTGGGTGCATGTGCATGTGGAGGTGTTTGGCTGCTTTGACAAGAACTTCTGTCGTAGTGGGAGCTACTGCATGAAGTGAAATGTGAAAAATAATGTTTGACCACCTTGCAAAAACAAGTTATTCAAAATGAGATCCCAGTTTGACCATTATTTAGGAATCTGAGTGGTAGCAGCTCTCGTTACTAAGCTTTACGTGAGGATTAAGGACGAGATACAGACAGTGCTAGTATCACACAGACTTCCTGGCTGAACAGTACTTTGCTGCCAAGAAACAATGGTTCTGTTTTTATTGGTTTACTTTATATTACCATTTTTGAAAAACCAAGTTTGGCTTTGTGTAGAGATTGGTGATCTGCCAAATGTCAGGCTTCAGGGGATTTTGGTGGCGTTCTTTGTTTAAAAAGACTGCAAGGTCAAATTTTGCACCCTGCAAAGGTTACAGTGCATTTTCATCTGTTATTGTGGTCAAATTAAAAACTTAAATTGTATTTGTTCCTCTGTACCTGGTGCACTTTATATGTAGGTGCTAAATCTGAAGTTTTGTAGTTTCTGGACTTCACCATCTCTTTTGGGTGGGTTGTGGGTTTTTTTTTTCCAGTGTGAAATCTTCTGGTGGACAGCTGGAGAGGAGAAGTTGGGTTTTCCTTATAGTATAGTTTTCACTTTAAGGAGCCTGTCATTGATTCAAATTGTATATTGACATGGGAATTTCATCATCAACTCACATTCAATGTTGTACAGATTTTTTTTTTCCCTCTCAACATTTTAATTTTTTTGGTATTTGTTTTGTTTTTGTTTTTTAGTTAAGCTGTCAACCCAATTCCTTTGCTTTCCTTTTAAACCAGCGAAACTAACTGGGTAGATGAGACATTTGTACAAATAAGAGAAGACCATTTCCAAACAGCAAAGCGTTTCTAAGGCCTGGGAAGGATGTGAAGGTGTTCGATTTGTTTGATTTGTCAGAGTTGTGTTTGAAAAACAAACAAACAAAAAACAAGCAAAAGAACCCCTTAACACTTATTAAGAGCTCTGTAATTTGTTTCTGAAACAGCATTCTTGGCTAATTACTTTTCTGTATGTATGTTTTTGTGTTTTGGTAGGTGACAGCTGGCATTTAAGAAGGATTGACTGGTGCTATGAAGCAGGGGAAGCATTAAGTCAAGAAGTAAGAGGATCCTATTTTTCTCCTTAAATCATGACGTAGTTTCTTTACTCCATTTTTGCTTAGAGACTTTCCCTGAAGAAATCTGCAGTAAAGCAAATGTATGTTGTTTTTGTGTGTGCTACAGTGGTACACCCTCTATTTTTGATAAAGGTGCCCTTCTGAACACAGTGCTGGCATACATATAGTTAAAATGTAAATCTTGTGTGCTTGCCACTTATTTTTAGGGACTAGGATTAAGCCATCTCCACATAGTTTTTTTTCTAAAGTCTAGGCTTATCATGCTCAAGGATACATCTACAAAGAAGCATGTGCTGTCAGTTGGTGAGGTGCAGAGGAACTCCACAGCTCAACAGGATGCTCTGCAAGGGCTGCTGCAGAGCAGACTCCTGTAGGTGAAATAATTGTGTGCTACTGCAAAGCTGTCTCCAAGCGTGGATGTTAAGTGGATATTTCTGTGCTCTTGGTGGAAGAGCAAAACACCTTAGACCTTTGGCATGCGTGGCCTAGAAAACCACCAATGTATACCTCAGGAAACAAATCACAAGGTCATGTAGACTTACAAGTGTACTCTACTTTCTCTTCCTACAGAATGCCACTCTGAAGGAACTTAATGTTTGCAGAGGAGATACCTTAGTTATAACTGAAGGAAAGCTTCCACCAAAGGTAAAATGAGAGAGATGATGCTCTTTAGTCAGTTGACAGTGTCTGCAGACTCAAATATGACAGTAGTTTCTTTTTTTCCCTCTTGCTTATTTTAAAAATATTTCACTGAGAAAATTTCCGGTTGACAATAATTATGCTTTTTTATACTTCTACAGCTTTTTTTATTTCAGTTAAGATTTATAATATTCTTTGTCTATATTTATTATTCTATATTTATTCAACTTCTTTAGTAAAAGGTTTGCCTGTTGCAGTTTCTTTGCCTAGGAGTGTGTTAAAGTTGACAGATGTGGAGGAAATCCATATTACTGGCATGCAAGGTACTTTTGAAGGCACAACTCTGACTACTACTTCCTAACAAAATCATAAAGATTCATTTCAGATTTGTAGTGAGGATGGCATTTGAAAATGGAGGGTGCTAGAGGGCAGGAGACCCTCTGGTCAGCAGTGGTTGGACAAATGGAAGGATTCTTTGCTAAGAAACCTCAAGTGGTATCATAGGATGGTTTGGCTTGGAAGGGATCTTTAAAGATCACCTAGTTCCAATCCTTTGCTGGACCAGGTTGCTCAGAGCCCTGTCCAACCTGACCTTGAACACTTGCAGGGATTGGGCCTCCACAGCTTCTCTGGGCAACCTGCTCCAGGGATGACCAGAGGCAGTTTGGTCAGCCTGGCCTCGTGCCCTATGTGCCAGAGCCCCTGACCACCTCCAAGGCCCTGGGCTGGGCCCACCCACCACCTGCCAGCCATCAGTGTCTGTCCTGGCCTGGGGAGACCCAGAGGGAACAGAGGAGCCTGAGTGCAGTCGCCAGAGAACCAAATCAGAGAGGAGGAAAGCATGTTTGGGGAGTTGGTGGGGCATATGGCCTGAAAGATGCCCTAGTGTGAGAGAGGGAGGAGGGTTGGGGGGGCTAAGGCTCTTGTGTCCAATGACTGTCCGCCACCTGCCCCTGTGTGCCCTGGGCTCAAGCCCTCTCTTCATCTCATGCATGGGATCCCCTGGCTGAGATGGATGGTGGCAGCACTGTTCCAGGAGTGTCGTGGGTCCTCCGTGACCTTCTCTGCCCCTACATCCACCTGGCTCCTTTCATGTGATGCAGCCCCATGCTGTGCCTGACAGCAGCTGAGAAGGGTACAAAGCATCCAGACACCCCACAGACATAGCCACCCTGTGCAAGGTCTCACAGCTTTCCCTAAAAGAGGTGCCAACTGCCAAGTTTTGCTTTACCCCTTCCCGATACCCTTGCTTTGGAGTGTGGAGAGGTGCCATTTCTTCTTTACTGAGCCCCGAGGGAGAGGAGAGAAGAGGACATCCTTGGGGCTGCGGTGCCAGTGTGATGCAAGAAGCCTGTTGGATTCTTTGCAAGTGGCCATCTTCAAAAGTAACATCGGTCAGGTCCTAGGACAAACTTGAGCTGTTGCACGTTGCCAAGGGCTGGGTGGTTTTAGCCATTTTTTTTTTTTACGTGAGGCCATCGATACTGGTTATTCCTGTAGGTGCGTTATAAGTTTAGCTGCTTATGTAGTTTGACAGCTGTGGTTTGCCTGTCTCCATTTCCATCAACGCTTTCCCTCTGAACTTGTTTTTGCATAGATTGTGCTTTTGTGATTCTCATGCCAAAGCTTTTCTGCAGACAGTGCTACAGGATTTGTCATTTATCTGGCAAATTTTGGAGTTCTTCACAAATATTGCTCATAAAACATCTGATATTTACCCACATATGGATTCCATAAAGTTCAGACTTTTGCCCTGTGTAGACAAAAATCTCATATAAGTGTCTGTCTTCACATGTCTGCACATTTTCCTCAGACTGTGACCCAGCTATGGCTGTGAAGGGGAAGGAGGGAAATGAGCATATGTGGAAACACAAGACACATGGAAAAAAATGGGTCTGTGCCCCTGCTCTGTCCCTTGAAATATGGGGCATTGTGAGTTGAAACAGAAGACTGAAAGACTTTGCAAGAACCAGCGGACATTAAGCAAGTCCATGGTGAATAAAGCTTCATAAAGGAAAACCAGAGATTTTCAATAGATTTGTTCTCAGAAAAAAATGTATGATAAGAGCTTACAGCGGTAGTGCAGCGCTTGCTAATAGCCCAGTTCAGAGCTGCTTCTGAAAGCAAGCAAGCCTTTCCTGCTTAGGAGAGAAAATCAGGAGTTTCTGAAGAGCAGAGCAGCATTGCATTTGGTGAGCTTGGATGAATCCAGCTTCCTCTGGCAAGGTGGTATCTGCGTCCAGATCTTCAGTCAAGAGTGTCACTCAGTTGCATCTGTAAAGTTAGATGCCATGGCAGCAGAGCCAGGATGGTGATGTTAGGCTGCATGTAGCTGGATTTTTTTCGCTCTTGTCCTTGTGCAAGTAGGAAGTGAGAACTGACGATGTGTTATCTTAGATGAACACTGATACCTTTTCAAAAGTTCAGTTTTGAACAAGTCTTCTCTTTCTTACTGAGTTGAAAGGAAAATTTTTCATTATCTGCATTGGAACTCATAAGTTACCTGGTAGTTTCTCTTCACGTTTCAGGGTGTCCTGAAAATACCCATCTGGTGGTTCAAGTCTTCAAGTCCTATGAAAAACGGAGAACATGCACGAGACCAAGTGAATGGCTTGACCTGTAAGATGGATGCCTTGGAGGTGTCTCCTGCAGGAGGTGAGCTTGATCCGTTTCTGAAAGGAATTGTGTGATGCAGTCACCCATGATCGCACAGAGGGCTTTGAGTCAAAACCAATGTTTTAATCCAAAGCCTTAAAATCCTTCTGAAGCCTATGTGTGACTGCACAAGTTTCAGCAAGCTTATGGTGAAAGGAGCAGCATAGGAGACAGATGCAATTTTTGACAAGACCATGGATGCTGGATGGTGCTGTTCTGATGTTCCTTAGCTATATTTGGTCAAGGGTAAGATTTCCACTACATTTCTAAGCAAGGGACTCTTCACTTGTCAAGAAATAAAATGGCTCCATACCTGAAGGAAGTGGCCATATTGTAAAGCATCAACTCAAATGTGTTTGGCTTCAAATGCCTGACTGCTAATAATGCATTTAATTCATTTCAGGCTATGTTGCTTTCTGAGATGCTGTCAAAGGAGTGATGAGTAAATCTTACGTAGTATAAATGACACTACAGACAGTATTTTAGCCTACGTTTGTTCTTCTAAAGGTCAAATCCCAATAAAAAGCCAGTTAGAGTAGGAAAATCGAGGGATAGTTGGGAAGCAAGAAGAAAATGAAGTGGGGACAACTGTGAATTGGAAAATGGGGAAACAGAATCACAGAATATTAGGAGTTGGA